TCAGATAGCCGCTGTTACACGAAGCATTTGGAAGTCTCAGTCATGATTCATCAGCATTTTCCAGAAAGGCTGGTCGACAACCGACCGATTGCCCAGACAAGGAGTAAACTGCAACAAACCCTCCAGAAAACAAAAACAACAAATCGCCGGGAACGTATTTTGAGTCATTCAACCCACATAACAATAAAATTGTTTACTCACACAAAATGCCTCAATTTCTTGCAGATAATGAATGACATGCCAAGCAAAAGCCCCGAATATGGCGTAGCTGAGCCTCCCTTCGCGCTATCGATTCCCTACAACTCCACTTTATGGATCAGATCAAGCTTTTAGTCAAGCTTTGGGGCGAAACATTTCTGACAGATGCAGACTAAACCCCCAATAGTTGCATTCCTCAGTCGAATTTTACCAGATTAACGTGACAATGCCATCCACTTAGCCTCGCAAATCAGGAGTAGTCCCAGGGGTTCATGGTTGAACGGCAACGCTAAGGAGGCTTAGCGCCACGTGCCCGTTATTCAATGACATTCCCTTGCATACTCCAGATTCCAATAGCCTGGATCCAGGAACGCTTTTTATGGATGCCTTTCATTGCGGGAGGACAGTGATAGGCGGGATATCGGCACTGAAGATGTCTTGACTTACTAGTCGTTACTATTGGATACTCGGTGAACCAACCGAAGAGGAATGCTCTAATGCAAGGTACGCTGTTCTGGACTGTTACCACTAACCCAAACAAAACACCAAATGCCATTGTCGTATGCAATGGATCCCCCACTGTCATTATCTATATATACTCATCAATCTTGACGTTTCTTTTTGCTTTTCATCATCACTCACTCATTCATTCATTCGTTCTTTAGTCATTCTTTAACCATAGTCACTCGTTTCACTATGCGTCTGTCTTCAGGTCTTCTCGCGGCTATTGCCTCGGGTGCTTACGCCCAGAACTTCCCTCGCTTCGCCAACAGCAGCAGTGCTGCTCTTGAGTCTAGCACTACCCTCCCTTCCAGCATCGACACCACCACTGGTGCAGCTCCCAGCTCCACCACCTCCCCTGCCGCTTCTCAGTCCGTCGATCTTGGCTCTGCCCAGCTTGGCCAGGGTTGCAGCTTCGTCACTGGTGCTGATGGCAAGACCGCCGTGTAAGTCATACCCCGAGAGTTTGCTACGGGAGAACCATCTAACGAGACTTTAGTCGCATGGCTGCTGTAGCCAACGGTGTTGCTGAGTTCAGCACTTCTCCCGAGATCACTGAGCTCGATACTGGCAGCCAGATCCAGATCCGCTTCGAGATCAGTGTCAGTGCTGTGGCTGAGGCCCGTAAGCGTGCTTTCGAGGGCTGCACTCTCGATGTCAAGCTCGACGGCGAGACCGTCTACTCGGAGCCCCTTGCCGACACCAACGGCGCCGCTGTTGGGCAGGCCAGCAACCCTACTACTCTCAACTCCGACAAGCCCGATATCCAGTTCCTCCAGTCTTGCGGTTCTGAGCCCGTCCAGCTCGATGTTTCCAACCTCGCTGTCGCTGCTGCTACTGATGGTGGCTCTACTGGTCTCCCCACTGGTGCTGCTACTGAGACCGGTACGGAGACTGGCACTGAGATCGCTACTGGCACCAACTCCGAGGGCGCTACCACCAACTCTGAGGGTGAGACTGTGATCCCCACTGGCACTGAGACTGGCTCTGCTATCGCTACCGGTACCAACTCTGAGGGTGCTACCACCAACTCCGAGGGCGAGACCGTCGTCCCCACCGGTACCGAGACTGCCATCGAGACTAACAGCGCTGGCTTCACCACCAACTCTGAGGGTGAGACCGTTTTCCCTACTGGTACCCAGACTGGCTCTGCTATTGCTACCGGTACCAACAGCGAGGGTGCCACTACCAACTCTGAGGGCGAGACTGTTGTTCCTACTGGTACTGCCACTGGCACCGAAGCTTCTGCTTCTGCCTCTGCCACTTCCCCCGCTGGTTTCCCCGGTTCCATCGGCGTCTTCACCCTCTTCGGCTGTGTCGGTTCTTCTGCTGGTTTCCCCACCTTCGAGCTTGCTGAGACCAACGTTCAGATGGATCTTGAGCTCTGTGCTTCTTCCTGCACTGGCCGTGCTTACTTCGGTGTTTACGATACGTGAGTCTCATTCTAAACCTTCTGCTGCAGAATATCGCACTGACCGTTCTAGTGCTTGCTACTGTGGTGATGAGATTGATGCCGACAACACCAGCCGCGTTGATATCGACCAGTGTGACATCGAGTGCCCTGGCGACAAGGACAACTTCCGTGGTGGTGATACCCGCCGCAACCGTCTCCAGGCCCGTCAAGCTGTTGCCGCTGGCCGTCTTCTGACCGTCTACGTCTCTGCCGCCGGTGCTGGTGCCACTGTCACTGACTCTGTTACTGAGACCGTCACCGACCAGACCACTGTCACCACCACCTTCACCACTGCCATCACTGGTGCCGAGACCACCACCACCGCTACCGTCACCGCCGTCCAGATCTGCGTCAACGGAAAGTGCTACACCCAGGGCGCTGACCGCACCGTCTTCATCTTCATCGAGGTCAACGGCAGCGACTGTGACAACGAGTGGGTCTACATCACTGAGGAGTGCTCTTGCCAGGGCGGTAAACAATACGTCCCCAAGTTCTGCTCCGGTGGAAGCTGTGCCGGCGAGATCGTTTACAAGACCCAGGAGTGCCACGACTGGTGGAACCACGAGACCTTCTTCGTCGCTGCTGACTGCGGCTGCAAGGAGGAAACTGTTATTTACAAGCCTTGGGAGAACAGCTGGGGTACCCCTGATAACTGCAAGGCCGAGATGGTCCCTGTCTGCAACGGCCCCAAGTGCCCTGTGGTCAAGGTTCCTACTCACGGTGGTTACACTCACCCCTTCACCAACGGCACCTGGACCAATGGTACTGCTCACTGCTCTGGCCCCCACTGCCCCAGCGGCCCTGTCCCTCAGTGCTCTGGCCCTCACTGCCCCAGCGGTCCTGTTCCTCCCTGCTCTGGTCCCAGCTGCCCCAGCACCAAGGTCGTCACCCTCGTCCCTGAGTGCAGCGGACCTAACTGCCCCGCCAAGCCCACTGGCTCTCAGGAGACCGGCGCTCACTGCAACGGTGCTGACTGCCACGCTGCCACTGCCACTGGCAGCGGCGCCAAACCCACTGGCACCGTCCCCGCCATCGTCAACGGTGCTGGCAAGCAGGTCGTTGGAGCTGCTACTCTCTTCGCTGCTCTCTTTGCGGCTCTGCTCTAGATGCTAGCATCTCCTTCACCTCTTCTTCTTCCGGGAGCCTCTTAGAATAATGACCTTCTAGTCGAGCTGTTAATTAGACCTTCATTTTGCATGCCTAACCTTGATCTTCCCTTTGTGACTACTGACCTCTCCGCCCTTGTAAGTGATTAGTGTAGCTTGGCCGCTAAGCTCAATATGTGGGACTGTTCAGTCTGAGTTGCATGACTATTGGATGGTGGCGTAGCTGAGCTCAAAAAGTGCGCTGTCAGTTTAACAGAGCCGGGAAATATCACCGAGATCTCATTTCATGCTATTAAAGCTAGTCAATTGTACTACGCTACACCATCAATACACTGCCTTGGGTCCGTCCAAACGCGACCTGCCACAGTTCCCTCAGCTAGCCGCTTGATAGTCTCTGGTATTTCCTCAAAGGCAACCTCTGCAAGCTCAGGCTTAATAGCACCCATAGCTAGAAGTCCCAGAACATCTTTCAGGTCCTGCATTGACGCGCCAATGGATCCAACGATTGTGACGCCTTTGAGGATGTACCCCGAATCTGTGTTTGATGGAATCGTGACGTCCGACGACGCAAGACCAACAGTGACGACTTTGCCACCTGGCTTCACAGTCCTGATCGCAGCCGAAGTCGTTGTAGAGTGGCCGACAAAGTCAACAATAACATCGAACGCTAAGCCAGCATTGGTTGCATCGTCAAGAGACGCAAAGCAGTCCTTCGCCCCACAGCCTTTTGCTTGCGTAAACTTGTCATCATTGACATCGAAGCCATACACGGTGGATCCTTTTAGGCAGGCAAATTGTAAACCATGCATACCCAGTCCGCCCAGACCAACAATACCCATTGTCAATTCGGGCTGAGCGCCGGCTTCACCAACGACAGCGTGGTGAGAAGTCGCCAACGCATCTGTCGCAACGGCAGCTTGCGCGAAAGATATACCATCAGTTATTTTAACGAGAATCTTCTGTGGCGCGACGACGTATTGGCCATAACCGCCATCGAAGCTCAACCCGACATATGCGCCGTTGATACGCTCCGAGACAGGGTGCATGAGGAGCGCGAGTGTGACAGCGTCTCCGATCCGAAAGCCAGAAACATTCCGACCGAGTTTTTTAATAATCCCCGCGACTTCGTGGCCGAGCACGATTGGCTTTTTGGCGATGTAGTCGTCTCCATGGCCACTAACAATGTGACAATCTGAGTGGCATATTCCTGCGGCCTTGACCTCAATGAGAACACTCTCATCATCCGCCTCGGGAATAGGCAGGTCCTTCAATTGAAGACCAGAGGCGGGATTCTCGTAGGAAAAGGCTTTCATCATATTGTGAGCAGTAAACGAAACAGCTTAGGAATGTAAGTATACCATTGTCGAGATATACAGGTAAGTTATTGGCCTTAAATACTAAACATTTCGGGTGAACAACTGGTTGAAAAGTTATTTACACTATATCTCTATTCGTCTCAACGTGGCAGCATGACGATCCGCGGAGTACCGGACATGTCTGTCCCTGGGGGATGGACTACTGTGGAGCATCTAAGTCCGGGGAGTACCGGACATGTTTGAAACGGCACTTATACGGGCCCGGGCTCGGGGTCTTGTATCAGCCCGAGCACGACACCGGATCATGGTAAGTAAGACTGGACTTATACTAGGAAGTTGACATAAAGTAGCCAACCTCCCTGATGTGTTGATATTAAAATCGTCAAGATAATACTCGAAGAAACAAGCTCATTGCATTCATTAATAATGGTTTTCGGATCACTCTCTGTGCAGAACGACAGGGCCATTCCCTTGTTCGCACCACCATATCTCTCCCAAGAACCGTTCTACTTCAGCAACATGACTGTCGTCTCCATCTCGTACCGCATTCAAGCCTCGCAGATTCAACACCTTGTGCCCCAGGAACTCGAACTGGAAGACCAACCAATCATGACTTCCTTATTTATCCACTATGGCACTTCTACCGTGGGCGAATACAACGAGTACGTCCATACCGTGCGAGTCAAGTATAACAACGACATATACGACTATTCGTTAGTTCTCCTTCTCGACAACGACAGCGCCATCTTCGCTGGGAGAGAAATATTTGGCTATCCCAAGATCTTTGGTAAAGTCAATTTTCACCCTTCATCTGGGTCAAGAGTCATGATGGGAAACGCAGAACGTCCTGCAGGAAGGTCCCTGGTCGAGTTCGAGTTTGCGCCAAAGGCGCTTCTGGATGCTTCGGTGGGAGCAGCGACTCCGCCCAAGGTGCTGAATCTGCGCGTCATCCCGAGTACAGACCCAGCTGAGCCTGCGTTGAGAGAATTTGTGGCTGTTGATATGCACTTTGAGTTTAGTGAGAGATGGAGTGGACAAGGAAGTCTCAAGTTTAACAAAGGATTTGCATCGACTCCATGGGCTGATCTGGATGTTGTTTCGTACATTGGTTCTTGGATGGGGAAGAGCAACACGGTTCTTGGTAATGACGTTGATCGCTTCCCTCTCTGATAACTGAATAATATCTTCTCGTCCAACTACCCATGATCGTTTCGCCCATCTCAAGTGCCCCATGTGCTTTGATCCTCCATATGGCTTCGACGGCCAATTGATTACAGCTCTTACAGGAGGGAGTGTTCAACAGCCGACATGACAGCTTCTAAGACGTCCGCACAACGCCCAGCCATAGCAGCCTCGTTCTCCCAATACCGAATCTTTTTGATCAATCCCTTAACACCGCCGCGCCAGTCCATCTCATGAACAGCACGCACCTTCCTAGACTTGACGATTGCCATGATGCAGAGAGCAGAGGCTGTTGATGTCCTGAAATGATAATACGTTATGTGGTTTCGGTAGTGCAGGTATCCAATTGTAATGGCGACAAAGTGACAAGAAAGGCCTTTCTCAACGAAGGGACTAATCTCAACCTGCTCTCTGTCACCCATGGTGGAATGAGCGGCATGGTATAGAAATGGCCGATAAATGAGGCACTTGAGTTCTAGAATTCTAGCATAGAGTAGCAGAGCTAGTTTGCTGGTAGGTAGTTCACCCATAGTTATTTGAGCCATAAGAGGCATCGTCTGAGCCCTACTCCATGTTAGCGTCATGACATAGGGCTGAGATACGAGAGATGGAAACGAGGCAAGCTCACCAGTTGTCTAACTGGTCCTCAACCTGTGAAACAGCTGAAATGAGTGATTTTACACTGAGAGATTCTGTGTTCCTCCAGCCTCTCCCATCGCGATACAGCAAGTTGAATGCACGGTTATTGAATCTTCTGAGCGTTATCTCAGTAAGGTAATAGTACCAACTCTCCTCCTGCACACCCTTAAGGTCTTCAGTGGGGGTTTCCCCTGGTGGTGGAAATATGGCCGTTGCCTGTTGAGAATGACGCGCATTTATCTCAGGAGGAGTAGGTAGCTCACACCCAGCATCAAGTAGGTCCTTCAGAAGAGTTTGAGGAAGATGCAGATCGAGACCAAGCTCGACTTGGGATTTGAGACAGCTCCAGTAAAGGCTTCGAGCTAGTCGTCTCAGGTGCACGGGCTGCGAGTCTTTACGCGACAGATAGGTCCAGTAAATATAGAAAATATTGGCAGCATGCTCGAACTGTGACCAGGCGCGCAGGGGAGCGAGAGTGAACATGTAGTATACCCCGGCGAAGAAGTGACACTGAGCTGCCAGAAGACTTTGATCCAACAAGCTCAGTCTTTGTCTAGCAAGCTCAAAGTAAGCACTCGCCATTTCTAACTCTTCACCTTGTGATTCGATGGAGGATGCGGCTGATGGTCCCGATGGCGAAGTCACCATGGTATTGTAAGGTTTTGCTATGCATCCCAGGGCACAGGCGATGAGCTAGGATATGTGTCAGTATACTCTAGTTATCTGAAGGCTCTTTGTTCCACTGACCACAATGCATGACTCTCCATCCCATGTGATACCGGTCTCTGAAAAGCGCAAACTATGTGAGTAGATCTCATCAACGTCAAGAATCGGGTTCACAGGATGAACATGCTGCAGAAATTGGCACACGAGCCTTGGTATTCCTTTCTCATCAACTGCGATAGGTGTCAGTCCCGTATTGAAGTCCGGAGAACTGTCTGTTCCGCAGGTCAGAGAAGAAGCATGGCCACGACCAGCTTTTGTATCCGATAGAGCTTCGAGAATATGGCTTGGATCCACGATGCCCGCCAGAATAGGCCATTCAAGAACAGACTCGACGCTTAATATCACAGTGGGGGCGGTGAGATCGTCAGAGCTCAATCCCTGGCTATCCGAGAACGAGTCAACACCTGCCACGACACGCGAAGCCGGGCTTGCGGTATTTTTCAAGGCTGTCTCAACATTGGCCTTGATTATACCTGGAATATCTCCAACGCTCTCGAGGACTTGGTTCAGACGTTGGAGGATGGCAATACTGGCAGGGTCGAATCTAAAAGTCGTTGGTCAGCGAGGTTAGGTTAGTGAATTATCAGAGGGCGGACCGCGCACGATGAATGATCCTCCTCGGAGCCTTCATAGGCACAAGTAGACTGAGATGCCACACACGATCCACAAACTGGCCGGACGTTATTGCACTTGATTTTCTTTACGCGACATATTCGACAGGTCGCGATAGCACGCTTGCGAGAATATGTTACGTCGGGTCTTTGGCGGTCAATGCGCCGTCTTTTGGGTCTGGCAGCGTCGCTATTTTGTCCCGTCTCCTATTAAGGCAGCTTTGATCTAGCCATTTAAGTTATTGGTGACTTGGGTATGTCCATCAGCAGGTGTTGGTAGCAATTGTAATCTTCCAATTTGAACGTCCGGAATTGAGTTGGCGTAAATATCGTGAGCCGTGGTCCGTGCCTCGGCACATGATCCGATCTGCCGAGCACGAGTCACAATCAGGTTCAGGTTTACGCTTTTTAGTTTAGCAATGCAGTTGTTCTTAAGTCTCCAACGGCTATTAATCATTCCCTCATATCTCCTGCCTATTTCTTCAACAAGTCTTGCAGGACCTTGCAAACCGCATCTCCAACCTCGCTGCACTTTGCACTACCCCCAAGATCCTTTGTCCTAATCTCCAACCCACCACCCTCCTTCGTATCCAGAACCTTTGCAACAGACTGCTCAATCGCATCGGCCTCTTTCTCCAGCAAAAACGAGTATCGCAACATCATCGCCAGACTCAAGATCTGCGCCACCGGATTGGCGAGGTTCTTGCCCGAGATATCCGGCGCACTTCCGTGAACAGGCTCATAAATTCCCTTACAGGATCCTTCGCCTGGAACCCCGGCGAGACTTGCGCTGGGGAGGACACCCAGAGTGCCGGTGATGCCACCGGAAATGTCGGAGAGCACGTCGCCGAATGTGTTGTCTGTGTGGATGACGCTGTTGTTGAAGCGCTTGGGATCCAGGACCATCAACATGGCCAGACTGTCAGCAAGTTGATGGCGAAGATCAATGTCGGTGAGTTCCTTGTTGAAGATATCTGTAGTTGCACGCCTCCAGAGACGGCCACTCGCAAGAACATTGGCCTTGTCTGCACTCCAAACAACAGGTTTGCTCCCATCGTTTGCCTTCTCACTGCTCGCATGCAAGATTCTTGCAACAGCTGCACTCACACGAGCCAATCTCTCAACCTCAGGTCGCGAATAGATCCAAAGATCAGACGCTTCATCTTCACTTTCCTCCTTCTTGCCAAAGTAAGCACCACTGCAATTCTCTCGAACAACGATGAATTTTGTCCCGGCTACAAGCTCAGCCTTGATAGGCGATGCGCTAACTAGCGATGGAACGAGAATCTCGCAGGGACGCAGGTTAGCGAAGGCGTCGAGACGTTGACGTAGCTTCAAGAGTCCTGACTCGGGAGTAGGTTCTACGCCTGCCCATTCTGGACCGCCGATGCTGCCGAAGAGAACGGCGTCGCTGGCTAGGGCCTTTTCGAGGACGGCGTCTGTGACGGGGGTGCCGTGCTTATCAATACTGCATCCGCCGACGATGTCCGTGTCTCGTTCAAAGCGGATGTCTGGGCGACTTGCTTCGATTATATCGAGGACTTTGAGGGCCTCGGCCATGATTTCAGGACCGACATGGTCGCCGGGGAGAATGAGAACGCGAAATACTTTGTTCTCTGGCATGATTGAAGTCGATGTGATGGAGTGAGTGGTGGGATAGCGAGAGGGTTACAAGAGGACTGGAGACTACAAGATAATGGAAATCAGGTCTAGTACTTGGTCTGCCGATCTCGGCCTGATAATTATGCCCGTTGGTGGTTAATGCCGATGATGAATGCAGCCAAGACTTTTTTATTCCTGTGACTGCTAAATTACCCCGCACTCTCTCTAATTCTGGCCCCGTCTTCATTGGTTTCCTGTTCTGGAAGGGAGTGAAACGGAGTCTCCCACCCAAGTCACTAAAACGTGGGGAAGCCAATCACCACATAAAAATACAGATCAAGCGAGATAACACTCTCTTTCTTGCTCAACCTACACACTTAACCCTTATCAAAATCTCATACTCATCATCATGTCAAGCCGCCTCCAAGGAAAGACCGCAATCGTCACAGGCGGCGCATCAGGCTTCGGCAAAGGCATCGCCACAAAATTCATCTCTGAAGGCGCCAACGTCATAATCACCGACCTCAACGAACAGCAGGGTCAAGCCGTCGCTCAAGAACTATCCTGCTCTTTCACCCGCGCCGACGTGACCAACCCCGATGACTGGCGTCGTGTTCTTGAGTTTGCTATTGAAAAGTACAAACAGCTCGACATTGTCGTCAACAATGCTGGTGCAGCGTACTCGAAGAAGCCAACTGAGGAGGTCACGCCCAAGGACTTTGACCTCGTGATGAATGTCAATGTCAAGAGCGTTTATTACTCTACTAATGTGCTGGTGCCGTACTTTCTGAAGGAGGGAAAGCCAGGGTGTTTTATCCAGGTTGCGAGCACGGCGGGCATTAGGCCTAGACCTGAGTTGACGTGGTATAATGCTTCTAAGGCGGCTGTTATCAATGCTACTAAGACTATGGCGGTTGAGTATGGACCTAAGCAGATTCGGTTCAACTCTGTTTCTCCTGTTGTTGGAAGCACTGGCATGTGGGTGTTCCCTTGCGCTTGTCTACGAGAGCATTCTCATTAACTTGAAAGGACGCATCTATTTATCGGGAAGCCGGATACGGAGGAGAACAGAAAGGGCTTTGTTTCAACAATTCCAATGGGCAGACCTTCGACACCCAGCGATATTGCCAATGCTTGCTGCTACTTGGCTAGTGATGAAGCATCTTTCATTACTGGTGTTGATCTGGAGGTATGGCCTCTGATTTTGGAACACGATATACTGATACTAACAAAATATTACAGGTTGATGGAGGTCGCTGTGTGTAAGCTTAGGAAGAGGAGAGGGTCAAGGCAGTTTGTTACTGTTCTTCCAGTTTTATAAAAATAAAAATGCCATCAATTGCATGTCTCATCGTCTTCAAGTTCTCTCGAGCTCGTTAACCCTATCATTCCTAATTGCACTCTTGGACCATATGCAGTGATTTACCGGCTGGTTCTTCGTCCGCCATGACACTCAGCAATGTGGATAGCGCTGCGATTGTCAACGCATCTGGCGATTAGATTCCCTTCCTAATTAGGCATTAGTGTCTTATGTTCCTGTGATGCTTCAGCGCGGGGTAAAAGCGGACCTTGCCATGGCCCCTGTGACGGGTCGGTCGGTACCTGGAGCAGAAGGATATCATCGGCCGATTGACGGACCAAGAAACTAACTCCGATGATCTTATCATATGAGGCACACATCAGCATCCACCCCAATCCGTATTCTCCTAGCAATCATCACATATCTCTGTTCTCCCCAGAATCTCATTTCGCTTCCTTCATACCACCATACATCATCATGGGAAGCTCACATCATCTCCCCTTCAGCCTCACAGACGATTCCCTCTTTCGTCCCAAGTCTCTCATCAATGGAGAATTCGTCTTCTCAAAAGAAGGCAAGGCCTTCAACGTCATCGACCCAGGAACCGGCATGACATGGGCATCATGCCCAGACTGCACAGCATCCGACGTCGATGCAGCAGTGAAGTCGTCCTACGACGCCTTCAAGAGCTACTCCAAGACAACACCGCGCTTCCGTGCTCAGACCATCATGAAATGGTATAATTTGATGGTTGCTGCACGAGAAGATCTAGCTCATATTCTTGTTCATGAGACTGGAAAGCCCTTAGAAGAGGCCCGCGGCGAAATCGACTATGCGCTCACGTTCGTCTGGTGGTTCTCCGGCGAGGCAGACAGAGCGCATGGGTCTTCCATTACATGCGCTATTCCTGGTCGACGCGCCATGACGATCAAACAACCTATCGGCGTTGCAGCTGCTCTTGTTCCATGGAACTTCCCCATTGCTTTGGCATTGCGCAAAGCAGCTGCGGCTCTCGCTGCAGGTTGCACAATGGTCATCAAGCCTTCTCCCGAGACACCCCTCACAGCAGTTTCAGTCGCTTATCTAGCGCTAAAAGCAGGCTTTCCGCCCGGTGCCCTCAACGTGGTTACAACGTCCCTCGAGAATACACCAGCAGTCGCTGAAGCTCTTTGTCTCAACCCGCTTGTGAAAAAGGTGAGTTTCACCGGTAGCACGAGAGTTGGTAAGATCATCGCCAGGTTGTGTGCCCAGAACCTTAAGAAGACAACGTTTGAGCTCGGCGGGAACTGCCCCTTTATCGTGTTCGATGACGCCAATGTTGATCAGGCCATGAACCAGCTCATGGCTCTGAAGTGGAGGCACGCGGGTCAAGCTTGCGTCACGTCCAACCGAGTGTTTGTTCAGAGCAACATCTATGACTCTTTTGTTGAGAGACTTGTATCTGAAACTCGGAAGCTGAAACTAGGCCATGGTATGATGGAAGGGGCTACGCTGGGCGCGTTGACGACTACACGAGGCCTCGAGAAGGCGGAGGAGTTATATGAAGATGCTGTCGGCAAGGGAGCAAAGGTAGCCCTTGGAACCGGTAAACGCTACGAAGGGGAGGGATATTTCATGGAGCCGACTATCTTGACCGAGATGAAGGACGAAATGCTCATGACGCATGAGGAGATCTTTGCTCCCCTTCTTGGCGTCTACCGTTTTGAGTCAGAAGAAGAGGTTGTCCAAAGAGCCAACGATACTCCCTACGGATTAGCAAGCTATGTGTTTACCAAGAACGTGGATAGATTGTGGAGAATGTTTGAGAACCTCGATGCTGGAATGATTGGATTGGTAAGTCGATCTTCAAGATTTGTTGGTCAGGGCAAGCTAACTTTTGGTATAGAACGCAGGCAATAGTTCATCGGCTGAAGCGCCTTTTGGAGGAATCAAGGATAGTGGACATGGAAAAGAGAGTGGTAAGGATGTTGCGATTGATGAGTTCTTGATCACCAAGACGGGCACCATGACTGTTGAGGGGCAATATTAATTTATGAGATTGAATCTAGAGGTCATCAGCATCGACTAAAAGTTCTCACATTTTTTCGTGCATTTCTATCAAGACTCTGCTTGTTTGCT